TTGCAAACAACTCATGAACGTAATGCATCAATTAAAGTAAAGTATTTAATTAATAATTGCAAACCGGGGAGAAAAATGCTCCGGGGCTTGCCTCTCTCGAAGGAGCTTCAGGCGGTGATCGGGGCACTCAGGAAGTTCCTCAACGTCCTCCTAAATGCTGCTTTGGTCACTTCCACGGTACGCACCTCGAGCTATTCCTCGGGCTCCTCGGGTATGATATTTGGGTTCTTGGTTTGCGATCTGTATGATGCATGTGCGTAAGTGCTTATGCAAAAGGTGCATCGGATAAAATGAGCACAATGGATATGCTTGAATGCAAGGTAGTCAACATCATCCAAGAACATGTACTACAAGCACATGTCATCTCTGCATTCTCTTCTACTACTAATATGCTAAGTCAACACATCTCATTAAATGCTTCAAAGATACACCAAAGCTTCACTAATTCCTTAATTATGCATAAAGCATCATTTGATTAAACCCTAATTAATAATAGGTTTGAATAGCAACATCTATTTTTATAGCTTAGAAAAATCTTAGAAAAATACCATAGCACAGTACTACCCTAAGTAGTCTACCATCAGATTTTTATGACATTTGGATAAGTGGAATAGCCCACACAAAAATGACAAGCTATGGCATAATTATGAATAGGAAAATACTTTGTATTATAAAAAGTGTCAAACAACAGATGTAATATTTTTCCTATGTTTTACACAGCAAATAATCACTGTACAAAATTATCACATGCATGTTTTATATAAATTTTTGCTCTCTAGCAAAAAAATAACAAAAATCAGCCATTAAAGGCACTTGAACTACATCTCCTATTTTTTCTATAGGACATGCATGGCATATATTTTTCCTAGGAAGTACATTACACAAGAAGAATAACACACTTGGAAGCATATTTTTCTGAAACATATAGGTTTTACTACACATTTTACAAGATATCGGCAATATCAAGGATTAAATAAAGCTCTACAGAAAAGTATCTCAAAAATGACATGCAATATTTTTATCATGTAGATCTGGTGACATGGAACCTAGCAAAGTTTGTTTCAACAAATTTGGAGCAAATTTGGGCAAGTTATAAATTTCCAAAGCATTTAACAGAATTCTGAAAAGCATTTCTTAAATCCTTTTTAAAACCAGACGACGAAAATGCTGGGTGCACCCAGTGTTGTGCGCCCGGAACTTCCACCGCCACTCGCTTGGCTAGAGCCTCTGGCCCCACGGGTCGATGACCGAGAGCAAGGAGGAGCCCCACGGCCGGTGCTCACCCGTGACGAGCTCTTCCGGGTAAGCGTGACGGTGCCGGCGTGCACACCACTGCCGAGCCGCACCGACTAGGAGGGTGGAGTTGGCTTTGGCGGCGTGACGGTGCCGACGCGACCATGATGGCCTTTTCGGCGGAGAGAAAGGAGGGCGCCAAGCTCGGCCCTTACCTCGACGACGGTAGCAGCAGCGAGCGAAGCAAGCGAGGACCCAAGGTGGAGCTGGCTGGCGGGGAATCAAGAAAGAAGGCGTGGAAGGAGGTGCGTCGTCGGTGGGGCAGTGGCGCGCGTGGCGAGAGAGGCGTCGTCTTGGCTCGCTTGTCGCCGCTTCGAGCGAGGGAGAGGTGAAGTGGGGAACGCGGTGGGGCAAAGCAGATGAAGGCGAGCACGTGGGGCGAGGCAGCGAAGGCGGAGGCATGGCGGCGTCGCGTCGCCGATGGCGCATAAGCCTGTGGTCTTGTGTGCCGAGGCGAGCCGGGTGAGCAGGCCAGGGAGGCTGGCTGGCACGCGAGTTGGGTTGAAATTTGAAAGCGGCCTTGGCAAGTGGGTGGAGCATGGGCCGGCCAATTTGGCGGGGCGAGAAGGGAATGGCACCCGTGAAAGGAGAGAACCCTTTTCAAATTCTATATTTTAAGGAATTTTTAAATACCAATTTTCAAATATCATTTGAGCAAGAAAATGACTTCTTTTGAAAATGTCCCAAAAATAAAAGTTGCTTAGAATTTAATCCTCTGCAACTTTACTTTTATGACCAAAATCAAATTCCAAGTAGATGTTGAATTACAATTAAAAATCAATAATAATTCAAAACCCCATTTTTGAAGAATTATTTTTAAAAGCATAATTTGGCAAAATTTTGAATATAAACTTTGCTCTAAAAGCTGTGCTAAATAATTCTAGATGATTTACAATTATAGCCAAACATGTTTTCCTAACCTAGCAAGCATAATTAGGGCAAAAACAATTCTAAACAAGTGTATGCAACATTCATGTTTCACGAGCATGTTTCATATGTTTCAAAGCATGGTTTCAGTTATTATTTACATGATTAGGCATGTATGATTAGGATGCTTGATGATGCATAATATGCATGATTTGCGAGTGCCTAAATCTTTGGCATAACACCGGGTGTTACAACGGCCTACCGTGGCATTATACCGGACAACCATTGGACGGACCGGGGACGGGAGGCCTTGAGTGCCTATGCGTCCGCCTGCAGCGGTGTCGACGAGATGGATTACGGACAGCGATTCGCATTCACCCTTTGGTGGCGTGGGCGTTCGGCCGTTCGCGTAGGGTCCTAGGCGTCGGGCGAGCGTTCGCGTAGACGCGTTACGCGTAGTATACCTAAAGGCTAAAGGGCCTACAGTACTGAGGGCCTGTATACGTGGGGTCCTGGGCTAGGCCCCCCCCCTCCCGTGGGCCCTAGGCCATCGCACCCCATGCACCTTTGGTGATGCCTTGGTTACGTGTAGTATACCTAAAGGCTAAAGGGCCTGCAGTACTGAGGGCCTGTATACGTGGGGTCCTAGGCTAGGCCCCCCCTCCCATGGGCCCTAGGCCATCGCACCCCGTGCACCCTTGCAGGGCCGACACTTATCAACATGTTGTGCCTTTATGACCAACATGATGTGCCTTTCTCTGGGTCCTCCGCATCTCCCATGTCATTGTAGGTAGGTTGTGTGTGGCACGGTGGGGTCCTCACGGATGGCGCCAACTGTAGGGCTTCGCTTGGTCTCCTACCCTCGCTAAAGGATAGTGCGGCGGAAGCCAAGGAGGCCCCACAGGATAAATAAAGCGAAAAATTTGGACAAAGGTGGATGGGAGAAACAATAATAAATTCCGAAGTAAATGACCATTAATTCATCATCCATTACAACGCCAGCGATCGGGTATTTATAGGGCACACCTAGTGGCTTGGCAAATTTACACTTTGCCCTTGTTGTGCCAGGCTTTATATTACAAGGACGTAGGGGCACCACGGGCAATCCACGTGTTCCCCCAAACTACTCTCCTGATGTCGTCGAGGGCTCCATCCGTGGGACCACCATCTTCCATCATCCCACGACACAGCGGAGCTAGCCGTGGTGACCTCCTTTCGCCTAGGCATCCTCATGGGCGATGCTCAACTTTGTAGGTTTTGGGAGGCGATATTCAGGTCGTGTGAGACAATTGCCGCATTGGTTGCTCTCTTGAGTGTGGGGGAAGGAGGCGATCGAGGGTTTAGTCTACGGGCGAGGGCAGGGACGACGTGGCGCACCAAGGCGTCCCCAACAATTTTGAATTACTTTTCATAATGACAAGTGTGGGGGTAATTTAGATACAAATTTAGGGGTTATCTTAAATGATCTTTTGTAATGGCAACGTTGGGTAATTTAGATGTAAAATTAGGAGTTACTTTATGTATTTTTCTAATGCCGGAGGTGCATAATTATTTACAAAATCACAATAGATCCAATGGCCTATTATCGAAGGCGATGATTAGAGTCTACCAAATTAAAGGCGGATCTTTCTAATTATTGTGAGAATTTTTAAGGTTTATCTTTTTTTCTAGCGTGTATGGTTGGAGTTAACATGATGCCTCCATTCGGCCTCTTATTATTAATAGTATACTTTCACAATTGTGGAAGTTTACAATTTAGAAATATATATGTCTCGTACTTTATGGATATTGATTTTTTTTGTAATAGCATATATTAGCATTTACATATAGTTTTGAGAGGTGGGATAATGTAGATGCAATGTGAGGGGTTTATTATGAATTATGTTTCATAATGGCAAAGTGGGTAATTTAGATACAAATTTAGGGGGTTATTTTGAATTACTTTTCATAATGACAAGTGTGGGTAATTTATATACAAATTTATGGTGTTATTTTGAATTATCTTTCGTAATGACAGATATGGGTAATTTAGATATAAAATGAGGGGATTACTTAATGTATTTTTTCGTAATGGCAGAGGTGGGGTTTTTTACAAAATTACAATAGATCCAATGGCTATTATCGGAGGCGATGATTAGAGTCTATCAAATTAAAGGCACATGAGAATTTTTAGGATTTATCTTTTTCCTAGCGTGTGCGGTGAGAGTTAACGTGTTGCCTCCGTTGGAACATTTAATTAGTATAATAGTAGTAAGATAAGATTTGTAGTAGTCTAGACACAATCAAACAAGACAGGAAGACCTGATTACGTTAAATTTTGCAGAGGTCAAGGTCAAGCCGTGTCAATTTATATTCCTATATATATAAGGCCGCGCACTCAGCGAATAATTTTTAGTTGATCATTAGTGCGTGTGGGTGGGACATCTAATCAGTAATAGTAGTAAGATAAGCTTTAAGACGGGAAGACCTGATTACATTAAATTTCGCCGAGGTCAAGCCGTGTGTCAATTTATATATAAAAGGCAGCGCACTCAACGAATAATTCTTATTTGATCATTAGTGTGGGTTGTTGGCTTTTTGAGAAAGTTACCTTCTCAACAAATCTGTCGTCTTTGTAAATTATTGTAACGTTGAAATACCCCAGCTGGCCGGCCTACACCTTTTGGAATGCGAAGCCCGAAGGAAGCTGCTTTGATTGAGATTACATATACAGGCAAACCTTTGCCGAGGTTAGCTCAGCTCTATATAAGAGTCATCAGGCAGCCGCGTGTGTTATAACTTATACGTACAGTACCTGCCAACCTGGTACCTCGCTCGAAGCAGCTAGCCTTGAAGGCGATATGGCGGCCGATAAGGTAATTTGTTTCATTCCACTATATATATGTAGCAGTATGTAGTATAGCAGCACCAGCCGCTGTTCTTGTTGGTTTGATTTGGTTGTTTTTGCTTCCATCATAATCTCTCCTTTTTATTTGACAAATACATAAGAAGCAGTGTTTGTATAATGTGTGGCGAGCGAGTCTATTTTTCTAATCACACAGTAGGGACGCAGATCAATGCTGTACATACACATACTCATTTTTATAAACCCACACACACTATCCCTACACTCCAAAAGACTGAGCCGGTAGATTATTCATGCATATATTAATCGATGATGTCTATTAACACCAAAAAAAAAAGAGAAACTTTGTGTTCCTAGTTGGAATTAGTTTCTAATTCAAGTTCTGTTCTGAATATATGTAACAAAGATTTAGATTAACATGTCCAATTTTTTTTGAGAGCTACGGTTATTGCGCTCTATCTATGTGTTAACATCCAATCATTTATGTGTTAACGAAAAAGAGAAACTGTTATTGCGCTCTAGAACTTGAATATTTTAGCACACCATGGTTATTACTTGAAAATTATACAAGCTAAGTATTTATAGATATAAATGTGCAGTCACTTGATTTTGAGAGGCTACTGCTGATAATAATCATCTTTGTTATTCTAATGATACTTACTCAGCGTCATAAGTATTAGTACTTTCCTGTGTAGATTTGATCAAGTTTGAATTTGTTTCACTCGTCAGGAAGTGAGAATTGTTTTTTACTAAGGGAGTAACCACTTTTAATATAAATAATATAATGTTCGTAGAGATGGAAGAAGAACAAAAATTGTCTTTGACTTGACACTGAGGTAATTAAAAATTAGATACCATGTAATGTCTACCCACCGAGAAAGGAGGATTGAGCAAGATTTGTTTCTCCCGTGACCCGTGATTAAGGGAATCGGAGTGATTTGTTTTCCTTTTTCTAGACATTGTTAATTTCATTAACTAATTCATAATATAAGAAAAAATCAACAGCTTAGATGTATTTGTGATATTACCTCCTTCTAGGCAAAGAGAGTACCTTAGCATTGCCCTTTGTTTTTATCTGAGAACAAGTGGTGTTTAATAGCTTAGGAATAGTGTCAAGACAAATTCTACGATTTTTTTTTCAAAATAATTTGAATTTTTTTAAAAATTTGATCCTATATTTTCGATATATACCTGTTTATCCATGACCTCGGATAAATTTTTATTTTCATAATGAAAACCCTGCCCGGAACCATTCTTGTCTTCTGAGTTTTTCTTGCGTTGTAATCATGAGCGGTGAGAAAAATATCTTAACATGTATTTCACACTATAAACCACCTCATGGAGGCTTCAAACAGTGTCCACCACGCTAGAATGGGAAGACGTGGAAGGATTAGACAGAATATAACTAAGTCAGATTGGAGAAGACTACAGGACGTCCCGCCGGTATTTTATTAAGAAGATGAACTTCTCACGCAGCTCGAGAAAAATCCCCGAACCCTGGCCCCACCCATATACAGCGGCACCTGCATCCCTGTAAGACGGGACGGCTACAGATCTGTATTTTGGTGTGGGACAGATAAGAGAATTTTTTTACCATCAAGCCTGAAATTCGTCCCCGTGGGGAATCGAACTCAGGACATGAGGGGTGCCGCTGGAGCCATCTAACCGGTTAGGCTAGAGGACCATTGGCATTTAATCATTAGACATTAGTGTGGATAGGTTGTAGGTGGGCGGGTGAAGGGTTGGGGGCTTCTCGAGGAAATTGCCATGCATCTCAATTCTTAACGTCTTATTAATTGTAATGTACTGGAGAGAAATACCGTAGTTTTGAATTTTTGATATGTATCTAGACATAGTATATATCTACTCCTGCTTGATTTGTAATAAATAGGGTAATTTTGATCCTGTATTTCAGTTAAAGCAACTTAAATATTATTTTATGCTTCTCAAGGAGCTTTCCACAAGGCTGACTGGATGCTAATAACTGTACTAAATTATTGTTTTATGGTTTTCTTGATAAAGCTAATTGTTCTCTCTCTTTTTGCGAATGAGCTAATTATTAACATTTCACTTGCAGGTCAAAGTAAGTGGTTCGCTCTATTTGCCCTGGATCCGAGTCGAATCAAAGGAGGATACCCCCAAATCAAAATTCACAGCAATGGTTCGTGTAAAAGCGCCACCATCGGTACCTAGTAATAATGCGTTCCCCATACACCTAGTTGTGGCGCTCGATGTCTGTGGTACAACGGGCCAGCCGGCAACAGGACCAAGGTTGGACCTGCTGGAGATGATGAAGTTTATCAAACGAGAGTTGTTCCATGGAGACGCGACACAACACAAGGTTGACGTCGTGACTGCGTTCGGTGATAGTATTTCGGAACAGCTGCCCATTGCCCATTGGATATCTGCGCAACGAAAGCAGGAAAATCTTATGCGCAAGGGTGGAACTGACCTTAAACCAGTCTTGGAGCGCACCCTCCACGTAAGTGGCATCCTTAGTGTACATTAGTTGTTAGAGTTTCCATATAAGATCAACTATATCGATCTGGTTCATATAATTAATGTGTTGTTAATTTAGACGTCCACTTGAGAATATTTTTCATTTTTATGCAAATTTGAGTGATTAAGATGCAAATTCGAGTGATTGATTTTATAAAAGTTTGAGCTATTTAGATGCAAATTAGAGAGTTACTTAGGTTATCTATCATAATGGAAGTGTCGGGTAGTTTATAGATGTAAATTTAGGTGCTAATTTAGAAGCTACTTAGGTTCTTTTCAATAATGGCTGGTTTGATGATTTAGATGCAAATTTAGTGGTTAAATTTATGTTATTTTTCATATGGCAAAGATGGATAATTCTTTCGTGAATACAATTCCTATTATTTTACATGTTACTGTTACTAATTAGAGACCCGAATGGAGCCTCCACGTTATTTCTCTCTAGACACGCTAGAAAAAAAAAGGATAAATTCTAAAAATAAATTCTGGCAATAATTAGGAACATCTGGCCTCTAATCTAATTTGTTAGAATATAACCATAATTGCTAATTATAGCCATTGGATCTATTTATTTTTGGAAAAATCACCCGCCTTTGCCTTTATGAAAAACACATAAAGTTACCTCTGATTTTGCATTTAAAATTACCCACCTCTACCATTACGTAGCATAATTAAAAATAATCCCCTAAATCTGTATACAAATTACCCACTCTATCTCATGAAACACAGTTCAAAACCTCCTAAATTTATATTCATAACAACATAAGGTATGGGCTAAAACAAGAGTCACCATAGTCTAAGCTAAGGTCTCAACTATATTAGGTTAAAACTAAATCAGGAAAATACTAAAATTAATTTAATCTTTATGTATCATTAATAATTATTTATAGATATACTATTAAATGGTTGCAATGCATCATTAGTAATAATAAAATTAAATAATTGGTCACACTCGTTATGGAGAGAACTTTTAAATACTTGTATTCTTTATGGATACGAATACTGTCAGATATTACCGAATACGGAACTGAAATCACATAGATCTATGAAACCATGGAATGTAACGTGTGGTGGGTCTCATTTCATTTCACTTACCATTAGATTAGAAAGAGTGTAATGAAATATATATTGCACTAGGAATGGCCTTAATAAACAAAATAATTGTAAAACCTTTGGCAGGCGCATTATGTTTTTTTTAGGGAAGGCGCGTTATGTTTGTTTGTCGATCGTGTGGTAACTGTAATTAATGATTATTAATACAGGCCCTGGAGAAACGTCGTCAATCTTCCGTGGATCGTGTTGGCTTCATCATCCTCGTGTCGGATGGAGAGAGCAAGTTAGACCGTGGTTTTGAAAAAGAACTTAGCAAGTACCCGGTCCACGCCTTCGGCTTGGGTAAGAATCATGACCCCAAGGTTTTGTATCGTATCGCCGAGAAATCCAGAGGAACCTACTCGTCCGTTCCGGTTGCGGACACGGACACGGAGGCGGCGAAGCTCAACAACAGCAAGCTGGTGATGGAAGCCATGGCCTTGTGCTTAGGCGGGCTCAAGAGTGTTGTGGCCATCGACACGCGCGTCAAAATCAGCGTGCCCGACGACACAGCAACAGCAGACACCCTTATTATTCAAGACCTGAAAATAGTAGAGATCCAATCAGGGGGCCACGAAATGGAAATCAAGAGCACGGGAAAGGAAGGCGAAATTTCCGTCGGCGTCCTCTACGCTGGTGAGGTGAAGGACTTCATCGTCCGCCTTCAATTCAAGAGCACTAAGAGCAGCAACGGGCGAACCCGATCGGCTGTTCTTACCGCTGCTGTGGAGTACTATAAGGATATTTCAAGCAAGCAGCAGCAGAGGGCCCGTACTGTCACCGAAGAATACAAGGTGCGGCTCCTAGTCACATCAAGCGATAATAGTGCAGCCAGGGAAGCGTACAAAGATTTAGAGCAACAGGCTCCCAACTCCAGGGTCCTGCAACAGATGATCTTATTCGAGGTGGTGCAAATGCTGCTCAGCTTTGCAAAGGAGGAGGAGGAGGCCAAGGCCAAGGCCAAGGCGGAGGCCAAAACCACCACCAACATTAATGATGCGAATGTGGGAAACCTGCAGAAGAGGTGGAACGACAAGCTAAAGAGCCAAGGAAATCTACCCCGGATGGCCCGGGGGAATGACCTTGTCGACCTGCAGCGAATCGACGAGGCCATGGCTGCGATGGTCTCGAGCCTGGAGGGAGGCTCGGGGTTGGGCTGCATCTATTCCTGGGTGTCGAGCTGCCAGATGCAGCGCGCCACCACCACGGGTCTGCCAGTGCCACCGCCGTTCCGCCTGACGCCAGCCATGGAGGCGGCGGCGCGCAACGTAAGCGAGCACTTGGTGGCCCAGCAAGCTAGTCGTCGTCATAGTGCCATAATGCTCTTGGAGAAATTGGAACAGGTGTTCGACAAGTGGGACGAAAGTCGTCGCAGCGACGCAGCATCCTTCCTCGAGACGTCGTTGAACTTCGGGAACAAAGTGCACGAGGTGGGTTAATTAGTACTACTAATAATAATATATACCATGTGTGTTATAAATTCATTAATCCCTCACTGTTGGACGTGCAATTTAATTTTTTGTTTTGCAGGCCGTCAAAGCAGCGATCGAGGGTGGTGGTACCCAGACGACCGGCAGCGGCGACAATCCCGCCGCCGCCACCACCCTGGATGATGATCTCAAGGACGACATCAAGTCTACGATTGCCATACGGCTGTTCGACTGCTGCATCGAATTAAAGAAAAGCAGTTCCAAAGACGACTTGCTCAAAATATACGAGGTGCGTGCGTGGTTTACTATTGTTATCATGTACTGTTCCAGGGCCAAATAATAATTATATAGAATCAGTTACTACTACTCAAATGGACGCATGATATGATATGATATGATGCCACCATCTTGCAGGCCGCCCAAGTAGCCATCAACTATTGGCGCCGCGTCCAGGGAAAATCACTTCCGGCACCGGCAGCCAGTGAAGCGGCACCAGGCACCAGCCCATCATCAGCCACCAACCCACCTGCAGGTACCCAGGCGGCGGGCGGCCACCACAAGAAACAGTGCTGATGGTCAGATATATAATATCATCGACTGTGGCGATGCCGTACTACATAGATTTTGTGATTTATTTGTGCTTTTGCTTTGTGTTCCTGCATGCTTGTGCTTGTTTCAGACCGTAAATATGCATATGGTATATGCATATATGTATGGACAGTAAATTATCAATTCCTCAGTGTAATCAGAAAACAGGAAATAATAATAATAATGCTCTACACACAGGAGCAGCAGCATGTCACATATCTCTTCTCTGCAACTAAAAATTACAAAAGAGAATTGTTCACCGGGCGATTTAACCTCACCTCCGCGTGAGAGACCGCCCGGCGCTTTCACCTCGCCACCCCGTGCGCAAAAGCTGGCCCGGCGCTCAAAAGGAAACCTCGCCACCCTGCCCGTGTTCAAAATGAAACCTCGTGCCGGGCGAACCAAAAGGAAACCTGCCGCCCGGCAACCTCCGCAGTCTCCTGATTCACGATGGGGGTGGTTGCTCCATGGAGACAAATCTGAATGTTGAATATTTGCGATCATACAGAAAAAAAAAAAAGCCGTCTATGTCTGACTGTAACAGAATGAGTTCCAAGTCCAGCAGCTACAACTCATAACACGAAGGTTAAGACTGAAATTTGGCACCAGGCACCAGCCACGCCAAACAAGCTTCCTACAGCAGCATAAATATTACTAGCACGGAAGGGCGCGCTCCGCTGCGCTGGTTTGTTTCACACGGTGAAGGGCAGAAATGCAAGTGTTGTATTCCACACAAAGATTAAAAAAAAAATGTCCTGTCTTGATGGAGGCGCAGTGAAATGTGTTATATGGTTGCTGTTACTTCGTGTGTCACGATAGATGCTATGGTCGTTGTACATCATAGAAACATTAATAAGTAACAGAATTATTGAGAACTATAACTTATTGGGAACTGCGGAGTAACATGCTATTGCAGCTGAGATCAAATCACCACTGGAGCATCAGGGCAACCAACTACTGATGTGCTTAACGTAATTTGCAATCCAAATATTCGTCCAAGCTTGAGGACCCTGTGGCAGTGTGGTGTGAAGCCAAAAAAAGTTTCTGAAAGATTAGTATAACCCTAAGTATGTATATCACAGTTCAAATCGAGACACAGGTAAAAACTCTGTATGACTATGTGGCCATTATATCTAAAGCAGGTTGCTGGAAACAGCACTTGAGTAGCCAGTTGGTACATTGGCAGGAGCCAATATATAGGATGCATCAGTTTCATAAGTTATGCAAGATAAGCCATTAGCCTATTAAATCCACTAAAAAGGTTATTTCCAATGGTAGGTCGAACTTTAGTCCAAAAAAAAATTCATTGGTATTACACCTAACACAAAAACTGTATAGACTACATTTATATATGAATCCTTTTTTTGGGGGGGGGCCCGGGCACAGCAGCTAGTAGCAGCCGAGCACCGGGGAGGTGGCGGAGCGAGCCTGTGGGCGGAGCCGTGGACGCGGAGGTTCGATCTGCTTCACCTCCTGGATTAGTAAGATCTACCCTCTTTCCTCTCCGATTCTGGCATCACGTATTGCTGATATCTGACATCTCCAACTTCAGTGTTCACTCGTACGTCAGGGACTTCGTGACCGTGGAAGAGACTAGCACGGTAGGCACGCTTCGCTGCGCCCGTGCTGACCATACGCGTGAGGTATTCATATATGATTATTAGTAGGCAGTCGTAGGGAATGTGTGGGATCGGATGATAGACCATCAGTCTCACAGTGGGATGTACCTGACCCAAGTCCGATTCTGCAGCAGCTTCCTGTTGTGACCAAGCACACAGTATATCGAAGAAACATCTACCTGCAGGAACACAATAGCACATGATATCAACAAACCATACATGCCACACATTGAGAAAAGCAAGTGTGTTAATGACATCATCCTCATAAAGATTAGCATGAAACCATGTGAACACGGAGAGTTAACAGATTAAACTATTATGAGCCATAAATTATCAAGAATATATCTTCACTCAATTGTTATGTGAAGCACTGACCAAATGAGCAATCTTTTAGCCACTACAAATGGATCTTAATAGTTTAATTGGTACAAAACTAAAATAAGTTAGACAAATTTGATTAGACATTTGGACTGGCAACTCTGTAAAACCTTCATGCACATAACAAAAACTCCTGGCCACAATCCAAGAGGAAGCTCCTCGAAACGCTCAACATGAAAATAAGTATTAACATATGAGCGGTTTACTACTGTGGGTTAAAACAGAGGCCTTCCCATGGGTCTCATATTTGTGAAGATTTGTTTATGGTAGGAGATGTATCATAAGTTCCAACCATTTATAACCAGAGTGAGCTTGCGCTGCTTCTCTGACCCTCCTTTTCTATGTCTGGCTATCTGTAAGTAGTAAGTAGCCTCACCCTGAAATAATTTAAAAACTGCCTACACGGTAGTCTTATCTCTGAACTACAATATAGCTGTCACGGTAAAAAAATTTAAGCTCAAGTAACAATAGGGAAACAGTTATAGGTACCTGCTGTCATAGTTGAACCCCTTGTCAACCAAAAGAGATTTTGATAGACATAGCCAGAGGATAATTTAGACAGGAGAAGGCATGGGAATGTCATAAGCGTATCTTTAGTCGCGAAAGCACAAGCTTAATCTGGCCAAATAAAAGCAAACAAAAAACTGGTTAGTCTAAAATAAATATACTTCAACACGAAAGACAATCTGATTTAAAAGCTCTTCACTCTAAACTGAAATATTAAATATCAGAACACCAAAAATGCACTGAATCGTTTTTTTCCAAAAGAAAATCAGTGGGGAACTGAAATTACCTCTAGGATGTACATGATCAGCAGCAACAGCATTGTTTGATGCAGATAACGTTCACAAATTGTAATATAAAGCACCTAAGAATATAACAGTAAAGTAACCAATTGTAGTATACTGCACCTAATAATATCTGCCACGTAAGGTATTACCCAGCAAATGAACTAACAAATGAACCATTGATAATTACAAAGAAAAGTTAGTTAACATGAAAATAGCACATGAAAAACTCCTTGGTGACCAACACAGGTACATGTACTATAATGAGTATCGAGTCCATGGCAAAATAACTTTGGGTGGAGTAAGCAGTTTCTTAACTTTTTTAGAGGGTAAAGGAAAAGGACCCAAATCTGCAACGAAGAAACAATAAAATGTTAGTGAATGAAAACTGAAAATGGATATTTCAGTTATCGCACATGTCATCCCTAACCTGTAAAAAGCAACGATGATTAGGTGACCTTTTGCAGTCCATACGTAGCTAGTTGGACATAATATATTTTAGCTATCCCCCATCTCGTCCCTAACCTATGCAAGGCCGGTTCAAGTTGGTTCGATGGAACATCGATTTGGACATAATATGTTTCAGTTATCGCCCATGTCATCCCTAACCTGTAAAAAGCAACGATGGTTAGGCGATCTTTTGCAGGCCATATCTAGTTAGCTGGACATAATATATTTCAGTTATCTCCCATGTCATCCCTAACCTGTGCAAGGCAAATGATGATTAGGCGATCTTTTACAGTCTGAACTGAAGAGTTATTGCATCAGAATATATATTAACATGGATTATTTATTCTTAAAAACGCTGGAGCTATATAAATAAACCAAATTTCTTTTCTGAAAGTGAATTCCTGTGAAGATAACACCTTATATAGGATATAAATGAACAATATTTCTGCAGGCAAAATAAATACTGCAATATCATATACTGAAGTGCTAGCTAACCAAGTATCCTGAATTCCAGAGGAAAAAGGCAATGGAAAAACTGATCGTATGATTAGCTAGTTTGACCTTTTTTGTCATTCCCTTCCAGAGAGGGATCCAAATCAAATAGCAGTTAGGATGAGCATGGATAAAATTACAGATCAAATTACCAGATGTAATTAGAAGTACTGTGGCAAGAGTGACAACGGAGGAAGAGAATATGTGTACGGCTTACTGCACCAGAGCACTAGGGGCCCCTGCACCCGCGCGCCGCACACAGCAATCAGATGGAGGAGAAAGTGAGGGCGCTTGTACCTTGTTTGAAGGACCAGCAGCAGCGAACAACAGTGAAGAGCATCGTAAGAACGAAACACAGAGACATAGGAGAAGGATAAAGAACAGAGCGAGGAAGCAGCCCGGAACGAAGCCACCTAGAGCATCACCCAAAAACGACCGGCGACACATGCAAGAAGCTGTGCGTGGGACAACAGATGGGCAGCGTACGAATGGCAAGACGGCCCTAAAGAACTGCGATGAGCGGGGAGAAGATAAGCGGCGTTCGCCATGGCGCGTAAGAGGACACGATGACGAACGACCGTGCAAGCCGGCAGCCAGAATAGATGGAAACGCATAGAAAAGAAAAAAAACAGAGAAGACCCCGGCAATGGCGACGGCGGCGCGGAGGAGATGGGCGAAGGAGCCGAGAGGACGCGCAGGAGGAACAGTGAGTAAAGCTAAGTGGAGCACCTTGTTGAACTATTCTAATCACACGGTGATAGATCTAGTCGGCTACTTTTTTTTTTTTTAAGAATAACATGTTTTAGTACGTCTACTGGACATAGATTAGATGGAGGAGTAGTGCTAGGTTATCGACCATCGTAGTTCTTCGATCAAGAGGTGTCGGTCATGGTTGTTGTGCCGGTGTCTACGTGAGGACAGCGATGGTCAGTGAAGACGGGTGGCGGCGCAGTACAGTGGCGACCGGCGGTGAAGACCGATGGCAGCACAGTGCAATGGTGGAGGTGCTTCCCGTCGCTGGCTGTGCCTCTCACTAGATCGGGTTTAGGGTTTGTCAGTGGAAAGCTCGGCTCAAACGAACCTTGTGACTTAAGTCACCGGCCCCCACCTCTATTTATTGCGTAGTATGACAGGGCCCCTCCAGCCATAGTAGGCTGGGCGCCCCCGACTAGGGCATGGATCAAAGGCCCCACTGGACCGTTGGGCCCAGTTTAAAATTGGAGATCAATCTAACAATCTCACCATTAATCTTCTACCATCTTTTAATTTTATATCATTTATTTTTGTTCATTCGGTTACAGATTAGCGCATAGAGCATGTTTCATCGTCACGATCAATTACCGATAGATTTAACATCTACAACATACCACTCTGTTATGAAATAGATACTTAACTTTGGGCCTTCTTTTATCCAGAAATTATAGACTTTCCCTTAAACCCATGCCAGCTACATGTTCTCTGAACACGTTGGGTGGTAAGCCTTTTGTAAGCGGATCCACGAGTATCTTTTTGGTACTTATATGCTCAAGACTTATGACATGATCTCGGACTTTATCTTTCA